GGAAAGGAAAGGTGTGCTGAGAGGCTCACAGCCGGCTTTGGGTGGTAGGTTGTATAGGCTGGTTGTGCAGGGACAGGGGTTTTATGTTCCTGTAGAGATGCCATCATGTAGGTGGGTGTTATGTTCATGAGAGCTGCAGGACAGTTCTGCTTGAGTTTGCCTCTTCAAGTGAGCCGGGCATGCTTGGTTGGAATTCTTATATTATCCTCCCAATTGCGCTTTGTTGCAGAAAGTAAAGGGTGTGTTGCCTTTGCTGGGTGTAGGTGTTGTGCTGTTTCCTATGGCTTGCAGCATCCTCTGACTGTCCGTCTTGCCTTGGCTGGGGCAGCAGGGCACTGCAGACAGCAGTAGAACAGCACCGTCGTTCAGGAGGGCCCTCAGGAGGTGCCCATGGTGTTGGGTCCCCTCCATGCCCAGGGTGGCGTGGAGCAGATGCGTGGGCTTCCGTGGAGGGCAGCCTCTTGACTGCTGCCTCCTGCTGCCTGCTCCTGCGGAGCACAAGCGCTGCCTGGGTGCACGAGGCCGTGCAAAGGAGGGGTCCCTGCTGCTGCAGCTCCCTCATCCCGCTCAACCTCTGAGCGCGTTTCCGTGTGCTTGTGGATCTTCCTTCACGTGGTGATCTCTTTCTTTTCCAGCGCCTCTACACGTCAGCTTGGGAGAAAGATAAAACGAGCATCCACATAATGCCAGACACACCTGAAATTGCGCTAGCGTATCATAACCAAATGAACCTCAGTGAGGTAGGTGGTTCGGCAGGGTCTAAATGGCCAGTGGTGGCCTTTGGTGGCTGGAGGCACAGGGGCAATGCTCCTGCTTTCTTTCAGAAACTGTACAAGCTTGCCATGGAAGAAGAGAAGAAGAAGGGTCATGACCTGCGAGCAGATTCCATTCCTATCAAGGCTGCAAAAGCTTCCAGAGATATAGCAAGTGATGTAAGTGCAGGGACACCCTTGGTGGCACCTCTTCTTCTGGGATTGAATGCTTGCTATAAAGGTGTCTGCCTTAAAAGAACTGAGGGCACAGACCATTTCAGGAGTCCTTAGCTGTTCTGTGAGGGTCTTCTTTGTGTAGCAATTGCTTGTGAGGGTGTGTACGCGGTATGGGCAAGCTGTGTTGGCTAAAAATTTGTAGGTGGTGAGGACAGCATGACAGGTGAATCTGGATCATAAAAATAGTCCAAGACATTTTTTCTCTTGACTTATTCTCTCAGAGCATCCAAAACAACTTTTGAGGTTTGTGCTGGCTTCAGAGCTAGCAGATTGCACCACCGTGACTTTGAACCTATGCAATTTTTCATGAAGAGGCTTGTTTCATTTTAAAATGGACCAGTGATATATTTTTTTTCTGCCGTCTGGCCTGTTTGCTGATTCAGTTGACATAGGGCCATCATTACCATGTCCATACCGTTACTGCCAAGTACTTTTCAGGAGGCATCTGTGCAGCAGCTGAGTTTTCTATCTTATGCAATACTGTGTAGTTGAGGGTTGTTTCCTCAGTATAAGTACATGAGCTGAGTGTCTGATGACATTTACTGGACTCTCCAGAAAGTGCTGGGTTGGAAGGAAAAGTACTGTCACTTATCTCTTCCCAAACTCAGTATTTGGAGGACTGCAGCTGGGCTGTGCCCCAGGCCTCAGATGTTAAGGTC